TTATCTTTATTAGAAGTATTTTTATTTAAGGTTATTAAGTAATTATAGTGTAGGGTTAAAAGACGGTATTCTCTAGTGTAGGTATGCCGCTCGCTTATCTGCGCCGCTCGCTTATTAACCACGTTATATACTTTTATATAATATAAAGGACTATTACGGCCTATTATCTATATTTACTTCTTAAAATAATAATATTATAAGTATATCTAGTTAGTCTTAGTAGGGAGGGCTGTCTATTTCTTCTTTAAATCTTACTAGCTACTATAGGCTCCTTACTCCTATAGATTAAGAAGGAATTCCTTATAAATTAGCCTATATAACTACCTCTAGAGGCATTATATTAGAGTTCTAAATAAATAATTTTATAAATCTTAGTAATAATAATATTATATATAGCTTAGAAGTATATTTAATATTAAAATTCGTATATAAGAGCTGTATTTATTAAGGTAGCTGGTAGCTGTAATATTTACTTTATGGATTCTTATTTTAGGCTATTTACTTTGTTCCCCTACTGCTTAGGTATGAATGCTCTTTGAATGGACATAATTATATGATTACTAATACTGAGTAAATAAACTGGTCTATGCTCTAAAATTAAATACTATTATGATATAACCAATAAATATCTATTCCCTTGTCCGTAAAGTTGCCTTTATCAGAGTCTACCCCTAAAGCGCCCAACAACACCGAAAAGCTGGGGGATATGCTCCGATAACGCACCTTGTATTATTTTCGAAGTACCAGAACAAGATATGCAAGCACTCTGTACCCTGCAATTATGCCAATCATGATTCCAATCCAGGTACCTTCAAGCCCCGTCTCAATGCTAAACTGGCGCAACACGTCGGTGCCTCGTATTTTACCTTGTGCGTTGAGATCGCTCGGATACTGGCACTGATATTGGCCTGACGATGTCTCTGCGCAGCGATACTCGCGATCCTTGAACTCGTTGACCATCATACCCTGAAATACGTAGGCCTGATAGTCAATGTAGTGGAAAACATATTTCCAAAACACGTTGAGGATATTCATGGGAACGAGGAAGCCGTCAACGCACATCCACAGGCCGTTGGCAAAGGCAGTGACGGCCAAGGCCACGACAAAAATGTCAAAAATGCAAGACACCAAGACGACGAGCGACTCGGCTGCCACGAGATCGAGGAACAGCCATAGTACCCACGTGAAGAAGGCAGAGGCGCTCGGCCGGAAATTCGATAGCCAATATTCGACGGCTGAGAAGAGCAGGGCAATGAGGAAGAGAAAAGGCAGACCAATCAAGAAATTGGCAACCAGAAATCCGAGTGGCCCGACGAGACCATTGGCGCGTTCTTGCTTAAAGGTGCTCAAGTCTTCCAAAAACGCCGGCACATAGGCAACAGCCATGAAAGACATGAATGCGCCACCAAAGAATAGCGCATTAATATATGGTTGGATGTACTGCTGTTCGGTTTTTAGACGCAAAAAGACGGTGCCCATCAGAATAGCAAGGCCGAGATACATTGCGATTCGAATACCGTAGGCAATGACGTCTCGGTAAGATTTGATCCATGAGCGCTGGAGCAGAACCAGTGGTGTCATCCAGGCCGCAGGCTTCTCAGGTTTGAGAGGCGAGCTCACTTGCTGCAGTTGTCGAGCTTTGCTCACGGATGTGTCCAGATCTACACGCTGCCTTGAAGCTGCCCATGCTTTACAGATCTTGTCGGTTCTGGCGCAAATTTCACCGTCCTTGTCCAGGTCGGTATTGATAAGGTCGAGGTAGAACTCGGCCGCGTTTGTTTCGGGTGGGATGGAATACCCAATCATGTTAAAGTACGAGGAGGCGTCGGAGACGGGCCCGTAATAACATGTCTTGCCGCCGGAGAGAAGGCAGAGCTTGTCGAATTGTCGAAAGGTGGCGGAAGATGGCTGATGAATCGAAGCGATAATTATGAGCTGTTGAAAACTGTTAGAACTGCAAAAGTACCTGAACAAAAAAATTAATCCTCGACCTACGTTATTCTGCCGCCCGATAGACTTGATGTAGCTGCAGACCTCGAAGCTGAGTGCAGAGTCAAGGCCGCTCGTGGGCTCGTCAAGGAACAAAATCTTGGGGTTCGTGACAAGACGGCTCGCGATACCAAGTCTCTTCTTCTGACCACCACTAAGTCCCTTTTTGATGGGTGTACCAACAATGGTATCTCGCTGAGCGTGAAGACCAAAGCTGTTGATGAGGTCGTCGACACGTTGCAGAGCATCCTTCTTTGATGTTTTACTGCAGCTCAGTCAGTGGGAAGTGACATGTAAGTAATAACCTCGAGGACTTTTACCTTGGAAGTGCGAGTCTGGCTGCAAAGACCATGGTTTCCTTTACTGTCAAGCTGCCAATCAACGAGTCTTCTTGCTCGACATAGGCAGACAAGTCTCGGATAGTCTTCAAGTTGACGGGCTGTCCGTTGACGAGAATATCGCCGGTGGTGGTAGATCCGGCAGCGGCAATGCGGTGGGCCAAGGCATTGAGAAGAGTCGTCTTGCCTGAGCCGCTGGGGCCCATGATGGCGAGCATCTCGCCCGGGCGCACGAAGCCGGAGCTCTGGGACAGGATGGACAGAGGGGCATGAGACGCCCTGTCTTTGACTTGGACCTCCAAGTTTTCCCACGCAAACGAATCCACAGAGTCGTTTGCGAGATGTGACGTCTTGACGTGATTCATTTCCAGATCTGGGGGCTGATTTCCCCCGGCAGCGGTAGAGGTAGCCATCTCTTGATGAACAGTGATTGCGAGCGATTGCGAGCCAGACAAAAATTTTCTTGTCACGAATTAAGAATGCTAATATAGATCTGACGCGGGTCTGGTAGGCGACCGGCCGAACGCCTTTTATACACACAATGACGGAGTTGATGGAGCTTCTTACTGCATGTATTGCTGCAGGGGATCATCTACTGTGACGTCGGCGAGGGCCCGGCCCACCACCACCAACGTCGCCGACGTTGTTTACCATGTGAACGGCGCGATACTTGCTTTCAAAGTGCCATTTTTCCGTACGAGACGGACTTGGTAAATAACTTCCGAGGCCGAAAATGGAAGAAAGTTGCCCTTGCTGCCTTGCCTCGGCGGGCACGCAAATACTGGTTCGTCAAGGCCAAGACTGCACATCAATCAAATTTAGTAATTGTGTGCTGCGGGGTTTCATAGAATGCACTGTGACGGGGTATTGTCTCAGTGTGTCGTAACAATCATTATCATTTGTCTTGATATACTATAATGGGGGGACAGTAATATTCCGATGCATTTAAAAGTCCAATCAGCCCTCGAGAGAGAGCCAGCCCTCTCGCCCCCCAGCAAACCCCACTGCGATGATGCATGTGAGATGATGGGCCCCCCGGTTTTATTTTGGCATCTGCCTTATTGTTTGACATCTTGACTCTTGTCATCGTCTCCCGAAAGAGACCTCACCGTGACCCCATTGTCTGTTGTCATCCGCGGCAAGGTGCGGGCCAGTCGAGGCGGATCCCAGATGGACTTGGACTGCAGGAAAATCTCGTCAATTTCCTCCAGAGAGCGGCCGCTCGTCTCGGGGAAGAAAAAGTAGACAAGAGGAACAATGGCCGCATTCAAAACGGCAAAAATAATGTAGTATCGATAGGAGATGGTGTTGAAGCCAATGGGCGTCACTTCGGCGAGCAAAAAGTTAAAGGTCCACACGGCGGCGGTCGCAACGGCGCTGATGGCGGCGCGCAGCTGTAGCGGTGCAACCTCTGTGGCGTAGAGAAATGTGAGTCCAGAATATCCGACCGTGTAGATGAATTGAAACGCGAAAAGACAGATGACTGCGACGACGAGGGCAGCGTTGTTCGTAGACGCCGACGTGGTGCCCGCAAGAATTGCCATGGCGATGCCCATGCCAGTCGCGCTTGAAAGCATGAGAAATCGACGGCCAAGTCTGTCAATAGTGAAGAATGCCAAGTAGCCACCGAAGATTTGGGTCAGCGCCATTGATGCGGCGAGAATGCGAGAATTGGTTGGGTTTATATGGAGATACTGCTCAAAGATTGTCGTCGCGTACATGGAAATGAGGTTGATTCCGCACATTTGCTGAAATGTCTGGCCAGCAGCTGCGAGGACCGTACGATGAAAGAGCCGCTGCTCTCCCATTGTCCCCATGGCTTTCCAAGACAGCGCACCGCAGATGGACAGCGAGTGCTGTATTTCTCGTACTTCACTGGCAATGGCCTCGGAGCCCGGGTCATCGTCATTCAGCGCAGACAGCACCTGTTTGGCTTCTGCAATGCGGTCTTGCTTCACCAGCCATCGAGGGGATTCCGGAAAGAGCGAAACGAAGCCGGCCACGCAGAGGAGCAGCAGGATTTGCAAAGCCAGTGGGAAGCGCCACGACACGGAGCTGTCCGTGACAAAGAAGAAGCCAAAGTCTACCCACAACGCCAAAGAAATACCGGCGCCGACGAAAATGCCGTCGAGGACGACGTGGGCGCCGCGCTTGCTCGCGCGAGAAATCTCGGCTTGCCAGACGGGCACGGTGGCGAGATAGCCGCCCGTGCCGAGGCCAAGCACCAGTCGCGCCACGATGAACTGCGCGAGATGAAACGACGAGGCCATGAGCACGGCGCCCAAGATGGCCACCATGGACGCAATCTGGATGACCCTTTTTCGACCGAGGCGATCGCCGAGGTAGATGCAGGACAGCGAGCCAAAGATGCCACCGACGGTAAAGAGCGCAAGAACGGTGCCTGCATTTTTTGATTAACACATAGTTAACCGCCAAGCGGGCAAGAATTTTAGGGCCGCCCCCGAATCACGAATTACCTTGGATCGTCGAATTGTGCGACTGCTGCGCTCCGGTGGTATGGATGGTGTCGAGCAATGGAAACATGGCGACAAATGACTCGAGCGTCAAGAGACCGCCAGCGACACTGATATTGTAGCCATAACAGGTAAAGGCTGGACACACAACCAGCCAGATGATGGCTTGGGTCAGTAATGGGCCTCGAAGGCCGAGGTATTTTGCCATTGTAGTAGATTTATGACGAATTGGTTATAGTATTGAAATCGGCTTTCGTTGATTTTTATTTTTTGGACGGGGCGGAGACTGAGCAATAAATATGCAAATTGTGACTTCTTGGCAATCAAATATTGGTCCTTTGACGATGTCGTTTCAGCATTGCCACAGAAGCCCCCAAGTTTTATATTTGAACAATCCATTTGTAAACCTGGGCTAGTGTTGCCGCATATGCGCGATAGAGCAGCGTTTCCTTACTGGCAATTGGTTATCTGACACCAACGGGCGAGTGCCGGTCATCGGCGGACGCCGCACAGTGCTAGTCAGGTCCTCTCTCTCCCCCCCTAAGGGCTTTTGCCAGGGGAAGAAACCAGTCCAAAAAAGGTTCTTTGCCTAGTTGATCGTGAGTAAGAAAAAAAGAGGAAACCTTGCGTGTCCCGGTCCGGGCCACCACTAGGAATATACCCGCAGTTTACCCCAAACTTTCAATCCCCTCCCACCCCTCTCTTTCAGGTGTTGACGTATTGTGTGGTTGATGCCCCGGCTGACGGTTTAACAAGTGTGCATACTCGATATCTTATTGCAGGCTTCCCCGCGCCACAGCATCGTGGGGGAGGCGTCTTTGATCCACCGGACATGGCCGATATAAGTGTCGCTTACTGTATATGCGGGCTCGCAACCGGTCAAGGACCTGAAATGCGGTCGAGTACTCAGTACAACTGTATCTAGCCAATTGGTTGAGCTTGAGCAAATTACGCACAGGTTAGCTACAAATTCTGCCACGGAACAGAAGCAACTGGTGCAGACAAGATACTTCTAGGGTGGTGGACTGACTGTACTGAAAAGAGAGGGTGGTAGCTCGGCTCACAACTCTTGGTAGCCATATATGGAGCCGCTCTTATCCCCCACACACAATACTCACACATCTAGTTGTTAGACATTGTATTTTGCCTTTATTTTGATATGTCCTGCCTGATATCCGGCCATTCTCGATTCTGCAGCCCTAGCGGTTATAAAGTTTATTTTCCTTGCGGCTTCTTACGACATACAGCCGACGGTGGGCTCTCGATTACCGCTTCAAACTTGGCCAAGTATCGCAGCGCTGTTCACCCACGCAATTCCTTGGCCATCTTATTGATGAGCATGGCTAGTCGGCCTCGTTTTGTGTCGCAGTATCGGCAGGCGGCGACATGTTTTGGAGGACAGCCAGCCTCCCGGTCTGGAGCGTGTCGTGGCGGCGCCTCATGGCGTTGCCACGTCAAGCTAAAATTCCCCTTACTCAGCTGGGTCGTTTACCGAGGCGCGTGGTTGCTGTTCTTTGTCTGCCGAGTCGAAACTAAAAATCAAAAATTAAGCTTTCCGCGTGAATCCTCGACTGCATGAAGCTCGCAGTCAACAAGGCTTTACCCCTCCATGCAGGCAGACCAAGCCGGTGGAGGCTGTGTGCAAGCCCAAATATATGCCCTCGCCCCAAATATTTACGTATGTGCCATGATTGACGAGCGTCTTGGCATATAAAGGTGCCATGGACAAGTGGTGTACATGAGATTTATTATACGGAGGCTTTTGCCCAAATTCACGCGCTATACCTTGAAACGCAGTGCTCAACTGCCCTTTACAGAATGTCACTCGGCTTGACCGTAACCCAGTTCTTGTCGGCCGTCACCGGCCAGCCTTCCTCCTCCTGCTGGGCAGCAAAGTCGGCCTTCATCTGATCAATCTGCTTCTGGTACTTGTCCTTGCGGTTGACCCAGAGGTGGATGCCGCCGCGGCGCACGTCGACGCCGTGGAACTGCATGGGGCCATCGCTGTCGGGGGTATCGCCAGCAACTAGGATGGGCTTCTTCCACTCGTCAATATAAGACAGGATGGCAGCCCATTTGCCCGTCTTCCACGTCGCTGGGGTCCAGAGGAAAGGAGTCATAATCAGGTCGAGATTGGCCTGTTCATCATATGTGCCGTCGCTGATTTGCTTTCGCGCAGAGGTGAGATCGCTGCTGCTAATGTTTTTCAGAGCAGTGGTGACGCCAATGACGTTTTCTGGCTTGACATTGTAGCCATACTTGGGGTCGGAGGCGACCATGCGGACCAGCTCCTCGGATGCAGCAGAGACGACATAGACCTCGATGCCGTTGGCCATGAGCTTGTTGTACAGCTCAACCTGGCCTCGGAAAATTTTGGGGGGGTTGACGTCAACCTTGATCAGCTTATCACCCTCGTAGTAGCTCGTGTGGACAGTGTCGTTGAGCGCCAGGAGCTCGTCGACGTAGACCTTGAGCTTGCGCAGAGGAATGTCGCTGAATATTTGCGCGGCAAAGGGATAGCAAATGGCGTCGTCAATCTCGCAGAGACGCAGGTAGTAGCCATAGAGCGTCTCGTTGTGGTCGGGGGTGTCCTTGAAAGGAACGAGCTTGAGTGAGGGGTCCATGGTGTCGCGGGTGATGACGCCCTTGTTCTCGAGATATGGCAGCAGCGATTCCTCGAGATCAAACTGATAGCTGGTGTTGTCCATGTCGAACGCGGCGTAGCGACCCTGGTGGGCATTGGCGGCAATCATGGCGTTGAGCGCCTTTGCGGCCTCGCTCGGCCAGTGTCGCAGAGCAGGTCCCTTGAGGCATGGCTTAGTGGCGGCGGCGGCAGCGGCAGCGCCATCAGCGGAGGCATCGACAGGTGTCGACGAGGCTATGAGGCCAGTAGAGGCGAGCGCAAGGCCCAATGCTGTCAAGATTTTGGTCATGATGAAATTGGGGCAACCCTCGTGCGATCGACAGGGACGGATGAACGAGTGGGCAGAACAAGTGCGATACAGACAAGTCACAAAAAAAGAAAAAAAGCCGAACCCGGGGCACGCCCGCTTTTTAGCTTTTCCTACCAAGCTAACTACTTTGACTTGTACCTTGACAAGCCGAGCCGAGAGACAAAATGACTTTTGTACCCAAACGGCACAAAAAGCTGAACAAGAGGAAAAACAACACAACAAGACTGGGCAACGTGTTTAGCGGCGGCCCGCAGGCTGCACTGCCAGCCTTGCAAAAGACCAGCCCAAGATTGCAATCTCCACATGCCAGAACCAAAGAAATCCCAACTATTAGCCATACGAATGCTGCCAAGAGCGGTGATCCCTTCCCAATGTAACGCCTGGTCGGGCAAGCCCCATGAGCGCCTCGTTGACAAACAGACCAATAGTCAATTTTAGGGCCTGCATATATTCCCGCAGGCTGTTTAACTTTACCGTTTCATGCGTCAAATATCGATTCTGATTTAAACCATGGTTGATACGAGTCAAGAGGAACCTTGAAAATAGCTCCTTTTTTTTTTTTTTTCTCTCAGAGCGCAATGGGGAAAAGCGTGCCCGCTACGGGTACTTGACTTTGCCCACGTGCGCACGTCGTAGGCCAAGATGCGGAAACGCAGGCTGTCATTTCCACTAGCGTGCAGATTTAGTCATGGCTGTCAATTAGTTAGTTGAGTTGTGGAAGCTTGTCCAGAAGATGGTCAATGTGACTGTTGGCAGATAACGGGTGAGCAGCGCTGGTCTTGGGTGTTGCGCCCGCTTGAATTGCGCCGATATTCATCAAATGCTTGCTGCATGGCGTGTTCAGCGGACAGATCTCATCCAGTCTGGCAGCCTCGTGCTGATCAACATGGCGTTGCAACTTGTCGAAGCAGCATAAATCTCGGATACATGCCGAATTGTATGACGACAAAGAGCTCTGCCGATGCTACAGCGCAAAGTTGACATGGAAATCCAAAAGAATGAATTGCGGCAGGGATAGTTGCATACAGTCTTGGAGTTTCTAGCCTCAACAGCAAGGTCGCGAGTTCGCTGACCATGTCGTCCCACCTCGATTGTCAAGGGAGCTCTTTCGTTGGCCTTGGGCCGAATAAGCTTCTGTGCCGCTTGAATTTGTTCCTTCTTGCGGGCAGATAGATGGTACACAAGCAGCAATGAGGAAAACTGGCAGAATCCCCTGTACCTTGGAGAGTAATACGAGGCTTACACCAGTGCCGTATGTCACTAAGAAAGCGCGATATCGACGTAGCGATTAAACGCAATAACATGAGACACGCGACAGCTCGGGGGCATCCACTCTCTGCTTTAAGTCTCATTATTAAGTCTCATTATATTAAGGACTTTGCGGTCAAGCTCGTCATTTCAAGGATCAAGTCATTGGTTATTATATCACTGACGCATGCAGTGCGACTATTAATCAAAGGCGGTATTAGTATGGCCGACGACGAGTCTTGGCGAAAAGGGCAGTATCTTTCAGTGACGTCAATCTGCTAAGCCGAGCCATTATGATGAAAATTTTACCGAGATTATACAGAAACCAAACAGGGGCTTAATATGCTTCATGACGAGACAGCTTATTACAGCACACTGCCAAAAAAAAAAATTGGTGGTGGCGCCTCATTGGTGGGTATGCATCACTGGCAAAGCATTCCCTGAGAGCAACAATCACAGCCAGAGCAGGCGTACATGGTAAATTAATTATTTTATCGCTCGATATCAAATATTCAGGCCAAACTCAAAATACAATCTCTCGTAGCTAAGGTTTACTTGCAATGTGCACAATCACCTTGCCCGCGGAAGATCCCTTTTTGAGATGGCTAAACGCAGCCGGCGCATCGCCAAACTCGTACGTTGAATCGACCACAGACTTGAGGCTTCCCTTGCTGTACCACTGCGCAAGCTGATTCAAGTCATCGTGCTTGTTCTTGGTAAAGTAGCTAATGAATCGATTCTTGCCGCCGCCGAGAAACGACGGCCAGAGCATGGCGCTGACCACGTTGGCGGCATGCCCGACCGAGCCGCCGCCGACTGCCACAAACGGCGCGGTAGGCAGCAGAAACGACGACGACTTCGCGTAAAAGTCGCCCACGGCCCCGACATTATCCACAAAGAGGCTGTAGACGGGGCCGGCCGCCTGCAGCGCGCCGAGCACATCCGTCGTCTTGTAGTCGACGACGTCGTCGGCGCCGAGCTCCTTGCACAGGGCAATCTTGCCCGTGGAGCACGTCGCGGTGACGTGGCAGCCGAGCAGCTTGGCAATCTGGATGCCAAAGGTGCCGGTGCCGCCTGAGCCGCCGTTGATGAAGACCTTGTCGCCGGCCTTGACGTGCGGCTGGATGCTCTGGTAGGCCGTCAGCGCTGCGGTGCCCAGGCCGGCGGCGTGGTCGAGGTCTGCGTCGCGCGCAATCTTGGCGTAGCCGTCGCGCTCCAGGACGACGTGCTCGGACAGCGCACCGGTCGACTTGAACGGATCGAGACGGCCCAGGACGTGGTCGCCGACGATAATGTCCGTTACGGCGGGGCCGACGGCGACCACCTCGCCGCTCAGGTCCATGCCGGGAACCTTGGGAAACGATAAAGCGACCTTTACAAGGAGACCAATCTCCATGACCTTGTAATCGGCGGGATTCAGCGCAGCGCTGCTAACCTTGACCAGAATGTCTTGACCTTTGAGATCCTCGCTTGTCGGTCGAGCGGCATTGGTGTTTAGCTTGAGCTTTTCCTCAATGCTGCCAGGGGAGGCAACCTGCCATGCCTTCATTTTGTCTGCCATGATAGCTCCGATTTTTACAAAACGGTGGATGTGGCAGAATGATTGTTCAAGTTGGTTGATGAGTTGATGGAGAGACAATTTGACTAGACCCTACATCTTCAGCGAAACCACCCCTCCTCAAGGTGCCATGTTTATACTCTGGCTCTACATTCCGGGTGTGGTGAGCTAATACGCGTATCAACGTACTCATTCCCGCTGCCTTGGATCATCCTTTTTTGTGTGACCAGTTCCAGACCAAGTAAACTCTATAAAGTAGTAGGCGAAGTTTGATTCCTGTCTTCCTGTCCCCAGGATTCTTTTGTTTTGGAAATTTGTTTTTTTTTTTTTTCACCCGAAAAGATGCATTCTTTTTCTTAGCTCTCCGCGATTTCTACACCGACATAGTTATCCCGCGAGCAGCGAATAAATTATCGTTATCATGCTGCTCCGGGCTGATCGGCACTAGCGATGACGCTATCGTTATGCAGGTGGCGGTCGGGACCAAACGCCATCAAGCCATGTCCCTCAGAGGCGCTAATTGGCTGTGGCGCATATTGTTGCCAATAGTGATGCTGGCCGTAAATAGCACGTATAATCAACTGCGCCGGCCAGGGATGGCCATTCGACGTCGACCATGTGCATGTCAAGACTCCAATTTCGTCATGTTTTACATATGCTGGTATACTATATCTGCAGTCTAGTATAACCACTTTTCTCGTCAAGGGAAAAGCTCGTGATTTTCCTCAAACTAGCGAGAACTGAAATGATGGCATTGCTATCCGCGAGGCAGGGGAATAAAAGTCGACTACAGCCGCATTGAGCATTGCCTTTTAGTAGGTGAAGGATCTTGATAAATCCAGTAATTTGATGACAGACTTGTCCCAGAGATATAATTGCAGTCGCAATAAAGCACCTTGCCCAATAGACAGCGGTCGTTATTCGACTTTAGCCTCGCTATCGAGTGGCCCCGGGTAACCTCGTGGGGATACGCCACAGAGACTCGACGAATCGGTATGGAGAATAATTTACTCCCCAACCGCCCGATATTCAATTCGCAGAGCGTCTGTAACCATAATACTCCATTGTACAGATGATCGGCCTCGCGGGTCTATATCCGTGAGTGAGAGCTGTGCCCTGGAGACGGCGAGGCTTCCGTGCGTATACGTCACTGGCCACAACAGCATATCAACTTGATACAGATGTGAAGCTGACATGTTGACAGGCGAGACCGAAAAACTGGCCGACATCTGCTACATTCCAGGATATCGCACAGAGGGCTCACCATTTGTCGAACTTGTTTCTGTGTCCCATGATGGTACATCTGATTATCATTTACAGGGAGGAAACGGCACTGAAGCGACCCCACTAGACAGATCACGGCCGACAAGGAAAAGCTATTCGAATTTACGCGCGGTCTGGTTGGAAAATATGAATCCACGCTTTCGCAAAGTCCTCGACAGGACGCGGTCCGTCTAGCCGTCTAGCCTTATTCCATCGACGTTTTACACTACAGGATCTCGGGATTGACGAGCTTTCCCGTCAGCAGAGTGACCCTTTCCCGGCAACGCAGCACATTCCATGACACCTTGCAAGTCAAAAGCCTTATAATATCGTCTTATCTCATTACTCATACAAACAGAGAGATTGAACTCCGCGCCCAAAGTTGATAAACACGCTCTGCGCGATACCTTTCATCCTCGCCCGCATCATCTCTGAGATTGCAGAGGAGGGCACTGGCTTCAGAGGCTGGAGACAGAAGATTGATGAGTATCAAAAAAGAGCCGTTGGAACGCGGTATCAAATCTATCCGCCTCACGCGAGCGGACGGCGACATGCCGCTTGCGCGAGGCGAGGGTCCGCGCCACGCCTGGGTCATCCTGCTGGCCAGTGACCCCCCCACGACTAACAATTCACTCGAAATAATTCCACATGTCCAAGTGCAGTAGGCTCTAATCAATAATAGATGGACTTTAATAGAGATTTCCGATTATTCTGATGGTTACAGGTCCACTTTCGTTCTCTATCCAGATCAAGCTTGCAGCGCAATGAGACAAACTAGCCAATACCAACTTGCGTGCAAAGTAGCGATAACATTCAACAATAACTCAATTCATTCCCTGGTAGTCTTAAGCAATTTCTGCTAGCTCGTTTCAGAACGTCATCCATTGTCTGTAAGTACTGTCTCCCTCTAATTTCAACAGCAGACAAGTTTGCAAAAGAGGTGTTTTCCGTGATGATGGTGGCCGCAGCGATTACAGGGCACGACTTATTACGCACACTCAGAAAGATATCGAGTCATTCAAAGTTCATTATTTCATATATACGTTTTTTTTTTTGTCGAATCACAACCCATCATCCCTTCAGAGCTTGAGAAAGTAGGCCTCCCACTTGTCATACAGTGGCGTACCGAGACCAGTAACCGGGTCCCAGCCTTGAACAGCAGAGAAGCCGTCATTGCCACATGCGCTGTAGCCACGGTCGCTATCAGCGCCACCCAGCTCCTGGTTACCGACGGTAACATCGTTGAAATTTCCCTCGCGCTTGGCCATGTCGTAAAGAGCGGGGTTGGCGAAGCCAATCGGACCCTTTCCAAGGCTAAGACGCTTTTCATTGATGCGGTTCAAGATGGCAGCAACGATAGGGGCAGACATGGAGGTACCGCCAGAGAGGCCGAGTTTGCCGCCGACGGCGACCAGACCGTTGTCACCGACAGCAGAGACATCGGGGAACCCACGTCCGCCGCGGTTGTAGATACCCGCGTCGTCGGGAATGTTACCCTCCGAGGTGTTGTACGCAAAATATCCGGGGTTGTGGCGGAGGAGGTAGTTGCTGACAGAAGCCTCCTGCCACGAGGGGCGGGTAAAGATGTTGGAGAAGCCGCCGCCAGACGAGAAGGATTCGGTGGCCGTCTCGGGCTTATCGATGGACTGGATGAGCGTAGAGCCGACGCCAGTGATGTAAGGACAGCTGCAGAGATCATCAGCGACAAAGATGTCGTGGTGAGGGCCCAGGCAGTATCCGTTTCGGTCTGTGACGCCAGCGTCGCCGCTGGCAACAACAGCAGTGACGCCCACGAGACCAAGCTTCAAAAATTCGTTGCATTCACGCTAGAATACCGGGTTAGCGAGCATGATCTCAGGCGAAATTCTGAGGGCGAGAGACTTACGTGGGCGGTCTTGGGATCAGTGGGATCTTCAGGGCCACCATAGGAGATGGAGACGACGTTTGTAGGTTCAAACGTGCCGCACATTTTATGATTGTTCCAAAGAGGGTCTTTGCTGCAGTAGTCGCTGTCAATGGCACTGAGCCAATCGCCAAAGATGTTGTAATACTGATCAGCCTTGACCTGGAACAGGGTAGTGCCCTGGGGGTAGATGATGGGGTAAGCCATGTCAAAGTCCAAAAGGGACTCGCCGCCGGCTTGATCGGGGCTGTTCGGGGCAGTGGCGCCGTTGATGAGATCTAGCTCGGGGCCGGTTCCGGCGGGGATATATGGGGCTGCCTTTGTGTAGAAGAGGTTGAGGTCCTCCTGGCTGTAGACATCGCCAAGGGACTCGTAGATGCCGAGACGATTGGTGCTGTTGGTACCCGTAGCCCTGGGGATCTTGTAGAGGTAGGCAATACAGTCGGGCGTGACGATGGTTCCGCAAAGTTTCAGGTAAGCAGCTAGGAGAGTCTGGGTTAGCATGCATCTAGGTAGCCATCATAGTTATAGTCTTTTACTCGGGGGGGGATTCTCACGTAGAGTGGAATTTGCGGCGTTGTGAGCGTCGCTACCGCCGCTAGGGCCAGTCTTGATGGCATCCTCAAGAGTCTTGAGCTGATCTTGGCTCAGGTTGCGAACAGGCTCCTTAATGGCGGCAGGTCCCTTGGCGGGCTGTGTAGCGCGCACCGTGACTTTGCTCATGGCGGGGCCAGGACGGACAAAGTCGACAACGTCGAGGAGATGGTTGGGCAGACTGTACTCTTCGGAGCCAATGTGGTCTTGACCTGAGGCGGTGCTTCGGTAGATGTGATATCTCGTCTTCAGAGCCTTCTCCACGACACCAGCAGTGGTGTCGACAGTAATCCACGTCTTTGTGGGGTTGACGTGGATGTCCTTTTCAGCAATGCCATGGCCAATCAGCCATTGCTTGACGGACGCGATGCTCTGATCGTCGGCAGCAAACATGCTGACGACCTCTTCTCTCGACAAGTGCTTGCCATAGTTGGCAGAATTGGGATTGGAGCTGTAGGAAGAAGCTTGTTAGTTGAAGCGCAGGGATGGGATGCATGGTCAATACTTGCATGTCGTAGAGTTTGTCCTCGGCCTCCTGGAGGTTGCCCTGCTTCAAAGCAATCTCAAACGGAATCTTGGAATCAGCATCAACAGCTGAGCGCTTCTCGAAGCGAGCATCATAGACCAGATTGCGACGTTGGTGGACGGTGTAAGTATCTGAGGGAAAGGCGAGCGTCCCAGCAGCCAAGCTGGCGATGAGTAAAGTGGTCTTCATGTTCAATCAGGTAGCCTTTCTGCACAGACTATGTCGATTGGAGAAAAAAACCGGTGGTGCCATGGTATTTATTCTCCCCGAGGGACAAGCCGGGACAAGACTCTAGTGCCTCGGTGACGACGGCACGCATGGATCCCTGGAGTGGACTTTACAGGGTCTACTCCAACTGCATTGCCATTGTACGAATATTGCGTATCGAGCTCCAAGGAGTGTAGGCTCCGCTTGGGCTGCAACTTGGCCATTGGTTTAGGAAGGTGAGCAATGACGCTAGCACAAGGCACAAAATGCCTCCAGTGTTGATCCGAGTTGTCTTCCCAGCTGCAGCCCCCACCCCGACAAGGATATTGTGCTCATAGGGCCTTGAAAAGCTGTATGCGATATAGGTGAGCACGGTATAAAGATAGGAGGAGGATGATATGAACGGGAGATGATTTACTTGATCGCGGGTCAGGGCACTATCCGGCAATAGAGCTGGACGCAAGACGAAGCAACAACTTTGAGCGTGGCGCCCAGTGATAATCATTGTGGCGTTTACCAAGAGATTCGATCGTGTCGGGCATCGAGGGGGGGTGAGATAGATGGAGCCCCAGGAAACCAGAAACCGGGCAATGCCGACTCTTGGCAGGTGCTGTCGGGGACACTAAGACACCACGCTGGTCAGCCTGTACAAGGCCAGCCACAATTGTTGAGACTTGCCCATCTGGGAAGGTGATGTTTGTACCTCGTATCTTGACCTGCCGATAAGACCGTGTCCGCATGCACCTCGTCCAAGCTGCTTGGTGCTCATACGCAAAAGGCCGACTGCGGAGTTGTTTCTATTCTCGATTCAGCATGGCCCGCACCTTGGCTCTATGCCGAAAATGCCTGTGCTTCCAGGGGTATGAAACGCCATCAGTGCAGTCTGTGCCGAGCTGCCGTGGTTGCCGCTAAACTCGCTCAGCCTATAGAGTCAGCTGCTAACCAGCTGAATATCTGGGATTACATGATTGAAGTCAGCAAATAATCACATCTACATCAAGGAATTATGTAAATAGAAGTGCGTAATCAATAGCATATAGTTATGTGCGAAGCGATATTGATGCAGAGTTTGTAATCATCGGCGCCCTACGCATGACACACATATTATTTATTATATGGGCCAAAGCTACTCCGTGCGACCGCTGAGGGCGCGTGCCGCCGTGCTCAGTAGCCACCGAGGCCCTTTTATATTACCAGACCAACCAAGCAGAGCATTGCAAGGAGCAGGTAACATTCATACAGTAGAGGCCAAAGCGTTCATGGTTGCTCGATGTTTCTTGCGCAGCATGTCTGCCACATTTTTGTTTATCAGTGTTATAACCGCCGTAGCGCGATGTTGCTGGCCCTACCGGCGCGCGGCAGGCTCGCGCAGATGAATAATTAGCGTAAAAGACCCGTGTAACTAGAGAATAAGCCCCTGCCGTATTTGGTGTCATACCAGATATTGAAAGCTTTGGTCTTGTCCATGGACTGCAAACACGAGGTTTAAAGTGAACCGGCAACCGCAATCAATGGAGACTGAAGAGATCTATTGCCGACAATCTCAGATCAGCCTGGGCCACTGCGGACTTGTTGTGGATACGTGATGTACATACCAGCAGCCGCCGAGTACATCTGTTTATATGTCGATCCGTTATGCGAGGAGAGCTCGAGGATGCTTGAATAATGTGTGACCTGATATGCAGCCAAAATATTGCTGCCTCAATTGCTCACCGCATTTTTCTCTCCGTGGAAAGCAGGACAAAGGATCACGAGTGAATTCCCTCGCCATCGCCAAGGACCAGAAGAGAGGATTTGCTCGCCGAAATCCGCTGAACATGCTCGAAGTAGCTCATAGGCGTGGTATAGAAACTAACTTTAGAATACAACAAACTTGGTACATTGAAGCAATGATCTTGTTTAGATACAGGCAAGCATGATGGGATTGATTGATGCAAGGAGACGACTTGTAATTCTCGCTCTGTAAAGCGCCACCCGACTGTGCGCAATAATAATAAACTTGACAATGAATTGGGCAAAGCCAGGCGGGTTACTTTGCAATGTAAAATGAGCAAGTTTTATTATTTCCTTGTTGAATCGTTTATTGTTTTCCTGGACCGTTCTTCATCCTTTCTGGCTATAGTTTCCGATGCCTCGGCAGGGCAGTCGTGTAGTGGATGGCGGCGCTGATTGTAAGCGTGACGAGATATGACCGTGATAGAGCAGCGGAATGTAGAAAACGAGAAAAAAGAAAGAAAAAAAAAGAAAAGAACGAGAAAAAAGAAGAGACAAAAAAAAGACAAAGGAAAATTGGCAGATGAAATGACATGTCGAATACAGCAACTCGCTGCGCTGTTAGTGCCGTGGGCCACAGGGCTGATGGCGGCGACGATCACCTATTTATTTATTACTGTCCCTCACCAGAATAATTAAGCCGCTGGCTCGGCAAATAAATCTCCAAAGCGCCGAATTTTGCTTAATAGCGACCTGGGAATAAAAAGTACGGCTCACAAGGCTGATTGAGATGTAAAGGACTTTTTTTTTTCTAGCAGTATTGCGCCACCGCAGTCTTGTATCGGGAATCGCAACCCGGATAGGCTCGTCGTGGAAGAAAAAAAGATAGAGCCGGGATTCGTGCCATGAGGAACCGGAGTTCAGAAGCGCCACAGATGTCATGCTTCCGGCTCCCCGGCAAGTAACAGGGCTGTGCATCATTGCCGTCGCAGGCGAAGCGAGGCGCGGCCGGAAGCGAAACTCTGAATTAGTAACAAAAAAAAACCTTGTAGTGCGGCTGGATAGCCTTTGTATGTGGCAGGCTGGGAGAGGATTGTATTTGGTGACTATAATCCGTTGTTCTGTTTTGGGTACGTCTTCTCGCACAGGGCTGTGTGTCGACTGCAAGCAACCCATGCCTATGTACGGATACTTGTGAGTTACTCCCATAGAATTGAGGCTGAAAGATAGAGAAAATATCAACTAGTACCAGATGCAGCGAATTGCAGGGGCTTGCCGGGATTTTGCTGGCTATTCCCGGGCTAGTTTAGACAGGCCGCGTGTGTGTATAAGTGCCCCCAAGCATGTTCAAACCGTTTCTCGAATCCCGTTCCACGCTGCTCAAGTTACTGCAAGGCTTTTCCTCCGAGCCCCGAATTTCATCCTCCTCTGATTTGCCAGGACAGAAAAAAAAAAAAAAAAAAAAAAAAAAACGCTCCCATCCCCTGGGGCGCGTACATGGCTAGAATGAGAACGAATATGGAGATGCACTGTGGGGTCGCGTGGCCTGGGTGCGACCGGAACGGGATTCAGACAGGCTTGCGCAATCACTCATCCATCCTTTGTTATTGGAAGCGACGATTCGATAGTTGCAAACGTTTCATGCTTCCTTGAACTGGAATATCGAGCTTATTTCTTTTTTTTTTTTTTTTTCAGAACGAGGTTGAGGCTTCGTTGAATGAGCGGCCTCTAACTGCGCAAAACCAAGTTCGGACAAGGGGAGATGCCCAACGTCTAGAGAGATCTGCTGTCACCACCACAGAGTATTGGGTGAAAGCGAGTAAACGTCAAGTTTTACAAGATAAAGCCGCAACCGCAAAGGCTGACGTTAAAGGCTGGGCTGGTGTGGCTGTGGCTATGGCAGGGGCCCTATTCGTTGCAAGCTCATACATAGCCCGCCTATGAAATGCGCATCTCGACATCTTGCTTGCCCGATTGGGACAGGTTCACCGTCCAGGATAAGCAAGATATAAGAGGCAGCGGTCCCCTTGGACTCGACCCAGTGTGTATTTCTCTGTTATGCTGTGTTAAATTAATTTGAGCTTTCTCTTGAATCTTGACAAGTTTTTTTTTTGGCTACGTCACAATTGCCGCGAGTTCATCACAACCAAACCTTCAAAATGTTCGGCATTGGCGACGACGACGATGGCGATTCCTGCCCCACGCACAATCTCACTGCCCGTAAGGCTCCCGCGGCGACAACCAGGCGAGAAAAAAAAAGAACCCTAGTGACTGATGAATTTTTCCCTGTACAGGTGCCAAAAAGACCTTCATTGCCGGTCTCACGTTTCAAGAATTCAATCGTATCCTTGCAGGTGCTTGCACAGCGCTGGCTTGTCTGGTCAGCTTCATCCACATCTGGCGACACGCTACTCACCTATCAGTACCTCGTCAACAGGTCAAGTAAGCAAGTTCCCCCCCCTTGCGACCCGGGCTTTGCGACAAGTCGTGTTCAAAGTTGAATAATTTATCATGTGTTGATATGTTCTTTTTTTTTGCTGACTTTTGTTGCTCCGAACAGGGTCATGAGAGTGATTTCGCTGGTGCCTCTCTACGCCATTGTCAACCTTCTCTGCATCTGCTTCCCCCAGGCTCAAGTCTACCTCGACCCGATCCTCGAACTAATCCAAGCATTGTGCCTGGCTTCATACTTTATGCTTCTGTGCGAATACATTTCTCCACACAACGAGGGCCGTGATGGCTTCTTCTCCCAGATTGAGATCAAGGACAAGAAAGCCGAGGGTGGTGTTGTCCAGGATGGTGTCAAGTGGTTCGCCGTAAGCCCTCTCTCTCCTTAAGCGACTGTATATTCATAAATCGGGCGCTAACAGTCTTCCATAGCAACGCTGCTTCATGATTTTCCAGTACTGGGTCGTTGCTCTTGGTATCGCCATTGCCACCATCGTCACTCAAGTCGCCGGCGTCTATTGCCAGTACGAGAGCAAGACCGAGTTTGCCAAGCTTTGGCTCAGCATCGCCGCTACCCTGTCCTCTGGTATGGCCATTGCTGCGGTCTTGCTTGTTGCTATCCAGCTCAAGACGCACATGCCCGACCTCAACCCCATGACCAAGCTCATCGCCATCAAGCTTGTCGTCGGTCTTGCTTTCCTCCAGCAAATCCTCTTTTGGATTCTTCAGAGCACCCACGTCCTCAAAGAGACCGACACGCTCACCTATGCCGATTTGCACTACGGTATCCCCTCGCTCCTCAGCTGTCTAGAAATGGTTCCCATCTCTCTCATCATGTTTTGGGCCTACCCTGTTGGCCCTTACAAGCTCGAGTCTCTCGTTGCTCGTGGTGCGGAGCGTGGTGAGACCCAGAACTGGGCTCCTACATCCTACCAGGGCGGCTTTCTCGGCATTCGTGCCTTTTTCAGCATGCTCAATCCTCTCAATGTCATCAAGGCTACTTTTGCCGCCTTTGCCATCTCTGCTCGGGACTTTTCGTCCTCCAAGTTTAGCCGCAACGACAGTGGTAGCAACACTTACGCCACCGGTCCTGGCTACCAGCAGCCCCCAAGTCAGTACCGCTCCAACAACTACGGTGGGCAGTCTCGGGGCCCTGCAGGTCTTGCTCGTGAAGCCTTCAACCAGTTTGGTCCTGGTCGCAGCGCCCGAAACGGCTTCAACAATGGACAGGCTCGCCACAACGGTCGCAGTTACGACCACACTCGCGGTAACTCGTACAACGAGTACCACGAGTCATACCCCATGAATCAGCGACGATGAACGATTCTTTTCTTTATTGTTTTGTTGTATTGCACACAGTTTGTAAGCGTTGTTTCTGTTTTGGGCGTTTTTCTTTTGTAAACACAGCGATAGACAGTGATATGAAGCCTGACAACTTCGATTCGTAATACACGCCTCGCCCAATCATGACCTATAATATGGTAAGGATGAGCACGATAAAGCGGAGGAGGAGCCGTATACTGATGTTTTTATTGTGAACTTTTTTTAAAAAAAATTATTTCTAATTTCAGATTTAATGTGCAAGAGGTATCTTTTAATTCCATATATTTCTGACTCTAGGTGCTATCATAGACCGTCGAATTGTCCCATGTCTGCAGCGTTTCGAGTACACCGAAAGGTCAATATTTGTCCAAAAACCCTCCAGCAGCTCTGCTGACACAAGTAGCCTCAAGGGCAGTTTACAGTGCTGTAGTCCTCCTTGCAGCCATTGAGAAGAGCTTGGAGAATTTGTGCCTTTTGCTTGGCAACTTCTTGCGCAAGCGGGTTACATTTGCCGACAACCGTCCCGATAAAGGTACCCGCGGCGGTATTGATGACATCGATGTTTTCGCGAACGAGCCCACACTTCAGAGCTGCCTTGACAACGTCGCGCTTGGCCTTGAGGGTCTCGGTCAGAATCTTGACGTGGTCAATGAAGGTTGTGACGGTGGTGGTCAACTCCAAGGTTGCCGAGAGACTCAGAGAGGGCTGGACAGCAATCTCGGTGTTGCCCCTGACGATGATGTCTACCAGGGTGGTGGCAGTTTTCTGCAAGAGCGACGTATCACCGCCATCGTATGCCTTGCATTCTGTGTCGAGATTGTCAACACCCGTTTGACACTCGCCTATAACATTCTGGATGGTGGTGGTGGGGTGGCGAGGAGTGGCATTGGATAAAACGCCAACGCTGAAGCAGGCGAGAGCAAGCTGGACAGAGAACTTCATGGTCAAAGGTGGAGGATATTTAATAAGGTAGGAAGAATGAGTATAGAGAATGGATTGTGTTGAGATGTGAGATTTGTGACAGTACAGATCAGAGAATCTACTGGCTTTATATATCTGTGATTTATACGTCGTAAGCTGCCGCATCTCGTGAATCTCAGTTTCCATGTGCTTCCGAGACCGCTCTGCCTTGTTCTAGTATTGTCACGCCACAAACAATTCTATGCACAAGAGAAGCACAACAGGTTTGCTATATGAGAAGACTTTCTGATATCACCCGGCAGTTTGCCTCACGTCCATGACTGATTAGAGCATCCTCCCGTGCTCGCCAAGACAGGGAGGCTTCGGTGTTTGCGCCATCACGTTTGACTCAAGAGCGTGTTGCAGCAAAGGCGTGTTCATAATGATTGGATAGCTATGCTTGTCAAAAGCGCAGAGCTCGACGACTCGATCGGATGGCGCAATGAGGGGGTACTGCAAGGGACGCATAAAATCGAATTCTCTTAGTCGTACTGCCGATTGACACTGCTGATTAGATCGCTCCAGAGGGCGCAATGGCACCATTGTGCTTGGACTTATTGAATAGCATGGCTCTTTTGTACACATTGCATGGAAAATGCACACGCATGACTTGCAGTGTTTGAACAGCGTGCGAGTCACACTGTTGCACATTTCACTTACAAAATCTACAAGTCGTATGCTACTGCCATGACACTCGCACGAAGCGAGCAGATAGTGTACACGAAAGTGACACGGTAACAATTATCAAGACCGACAAAGGGCAGGGGATTCAGTATCAGCGAATTAATTGGCCAGCGAAAGCTGACAGCGGCTCGGCCCTCAGAAGTGGATGTGCCATTGACCAGGCACGACATCTTACCCCGGAATGGGGAGTCATCTATTGCGGAGAGAGAGATGGGGTCTGCGGCATGATAGTTCCGGCTCGAGAAGATTCAATCCGACTTTCTCACGGCCGACGAACATTGCGCGACCGTAGAGGCCAGTTTTGTTGTACACAGCAATCACAAGGTTCACGACTGCCACTATAAAAGCATGTGCTCATGCAGACAGTCACTCGCATCTGGACAACTCCTAGTCTTGTATGGATATTTCCTGTATGGGATACAGAGCGAGCAGAGCCAACTTCGTCGACAGCAAACATTTCTGGGAAATCCCCCTCCAACGGCCCAATTCAACTGGTGTCTGGGGTGTGTAAGTGGGTAGCGTCGATAGTGAACGCCATGTGGATCTACTTGAAGCCGCTTCTGCCGCTCATGAGCAGAATTGACAAAGGGGAAATTTCAAGCAGATGGGTTGGAATAGAAGATGACGGCTGCAGTTGAAATGAAAAGCCTCCTCCGAGCCTGACCTGGCTCTACAAACCCCACTACCTGGAGGTGAGTGGGTGGTTCCGTATTCACTAGTTGTGACAACTAACTAGTCTGTCTCTGGATCGACTTGGCTAGATATGGGTCCAACACTCATTGGGGAATCATGGCTTGTGACCTGCACAAATTTCAGCTATAGGTGGCTTGCCGCACTTTCACGCGAAAGCAACAGCAAAGGCTCTTCGATTTACGGAGTCGAGTCGTGAACCGTAAATGGTCATACTTGATAGAAATGTGCAGATTCTGGTATTGTGCAAAGAAAGTCGTTGCCCGCCTCCGATCGAGGGGGCAGTTATTGGGGGATATAGGGTATATTGGGAGACATGGGGAACTAGACCACCGTTCCTAGCAAGGTAAATAAAACCAGTCTTTTCGATACGCTATTAGCGTCCCATTATTAGATGCTAATAATAAATCAGAAACGCATTTTATCCTATATATCTACATTTACATATATTCACATTCGAAAAGGAAGATGCCCTTTCTGCTGTCGGGACTTGCCAACTGCCCTTCCTCCATTTCTCACCCTCGCTCAACACGCAGCCAGCGATTTTGATTACCATTTCACCGCATTGTTGACCTGGCCAAATTACTTGCCAATATTACTGCTAATATTATTTGACTCTCCATTCTACTTTTTCCAATGCTGCCTGCGTTTCGCATTGTTGACAGCCCCTGGCTATCTTTTTCATATCTTGTTTCCTGGACATTTTGACGTTTTTGTCGGTAGTTTTTTTTTTCTGCGCGCGCATGACCAACAGTGACCTTTCCAAGCCACATACCATGAGAATGCCGTTGCGGCACAAGTATACGAGAAAGAGCAAGAATTAGCCCGTGGTAGCAATGTCGCCTTGCCCACGATGGATGCGCTAGTTGCAGCCCTATACGCCTTCCTTCGACTAGGCACAGTCACTCAATCACTGTCCTCATCAGTTCCACTATGTGTGGATAGAACAACAAGATAGCTTGCCCAATTTCAGACCAAAAATATCCACTTCCCCGCGTGTACACTATGGAGAAACGGGTGGGATGGCGATGGGTAGCGTCGGTCAATACCAAAAGGGGTTGGCATCGCCGGCCCGTATTCGCGCCTCATTGGCGCAGCTACTTCAAAGCCTCCTTTCTCTGCTGCAAGTATCCTGAATATCTCTCATCAATTCATTTGCTACCTGCATTGTGGCGTCGCGTGGTCTTGTGTGTGGCTGCCATTTTGGCACGTTTCTAGCAGGGACTCGTATCCATGAGCCCAATGCTCATTTCACCATGCAGCCTGATTCTTCATTCAGGTCGACTACAGGCTGGGTGCAAGGGCGCGCTAGAAGCTGTCAGGCAATAAACGTGTTTCCACCTCGGCAGCTCGTGAGGTTTCTCGTTGTCCATTCTGGCTGTTAGGTTGGAAGATAAAGTTCGTGCATCTTCTCCTGGAGTTTTCTCACACGAATTCCTCTTCTGCCATTGTCCTCCTACATACACTCGTTTTTTACCCCCTTTGACCTTCGTTACACTCATCAAGCGTACTGTTTGACCCTATCAGGATGAAGTTTTCCCACATTGCTTCCCTGGCCGCTTTGGTCAGCGGCTCTCTTGCTGCTACCCTTGTCGAGGTCGTTTCCGGTGCAATTGACAAGGCAGACAAAGACACGCTTGCACTCACCGCGGCCGTAAAGGCATTCAGCGGTGACATCAAGCCTGTCGTTGCCGCCGCAGATGCCCTCATCAAGGATGTTCAGGCCAGCAAGTCCCTCATTGATTCGACCCCCGGCAAGCCGCTTACTCTCGGCGATGTTGCCGACATTTCAGGGCCCGCAAGCCAACTTTGGCAGGACTCGGGCGCTCTGGTCGCGGCCTTGACGGCTCGCAAGACCGATGTTGAGAAGGGCAACTACTGCTCTCTTGTTCAGGGACAGACAAAGACCATCTACACGGCTTCCATTGCTCTGATTGATACCATTACCGGCCGGGTTGGTGATGACGGCAAGTCTGCAGCAGAGGCTGTGGCCGGTCTGATGAGAGATGTTCTTCAAAAGTCTATCGATGCCTATGCAACCTGTAAGGATGCTAATCCTACCACTTCGTCTTCCACCACGACCGCTACTTCGACTACTTCTTCGACTACCTCTGCCACTACCTCCTCCTCCACTGGCACGACTTCCTCTGGAACTTCTACCGGAACTACTAGCACTGGAACTACCAGCACTGGAACTACCAGTACTGGAACCACCAGCACCGGAACCACCAGCACCGGAACTACCAGCACTGGCACTTCTACAACTGGAACTCACACTACTGGAACTCACACCACTGGAACGCACACTACTGGCGTGACTACCAGCTCTCACTGGAACAACGGCACGACTACTTCTGCCCCAGGAGGCGGTACCACCGTCACTACCATCTGCACTACTCCCACTACCACCACAACCAGCGGCGGCGGCGGGTGCAAGTCTTGCCCTGGTGGCGACAATGGTCATGACAATGGAAATGGCAATGGCGGTGATCACGGCTCCGGAAATGGCAGCGGTAACGGCAGTGGAAATGGCGGCTCTGGCAACGGCAATGGCAATGGCTCCGGTTCTGGCAACGGCTCCGGCTCTGGCAACGGCTCTGGTAACGGCTCTGGCAACGGCTCCGGCTCTGGCTCCGGTTCTGGTTCTGGTTCTGGTTCTGGTTCTGGTTCTGGTTCTGGTTCTGGCTCTGGTTCTGGTTCTGGTTCTGGCTCTGGTTCTGGTTCTGGCTCTGGCTCTGGCTCCGGCTCTGGCTCTGGCGGCAACGCTCCTCCTGTTGTTACCAACAGTGGCAACCTCATGGCTCCCGCTGGCGCTCTGGCCCTCGCCATTGCTGCTCTCGTCATGTAAACGGTCTCTCATTCTATTCATGTCAAGTACGATCTCTGAACTCGGTTCGTTTGCGAAAATGCCAATGTTACGAGCAAAATGTACGATCAAGCATCATGTTCTCTTTCTAGTATATAGTCTCATATTAATTTGCTGTGATGTAGCGCTTTCGCCCATTTTTATTGACTCAATTGATATTGTCAGTCTCTGTGCCCATCATGTTCCACTTTCCCAAGTATTGTCAGTCTAGGCGCTTTCTCGCCATCCTCCAATCAGCAATATTGGCGCAGTGCCCTTTATTAACTCTCTGCAGTCCAAAGTACACATGTATTTATTCCCAGCCCGCCTTTCCAGGCTGCAGTATTCCCACTTGCGCCCCCATTATTAGCGGCCGCTTGACTAGGGGAGGGCTGATGATGATGAAATAACTGGGCCAAAGCCGTACGAGAACTTGTATCCGCTCACCCGCACGTCCGCCTAATCCGCTGCCAATCACTTGCTGCGAAAGCCTGTGACTTGCATGAAATAATTGATAGCACGACGCGGGGTATAGACAAGCATGTTCAGGGGCCAGTCAGGTCCCCAAAGCCACTGGCGCTCCCCGTCTGGCCCTTTCAGGGTTGGACGGGCAGCCACACAACATGCCCCCCCCACAACTGCATTCCCCAACTGGTTCATGAGATGGTTATGGAGGAAGTCCCTCGTATGGGCGTAGCGTCGGTGCGTCGTACTGGTAGTTACCAAGACAATGTGTCAGTGATGTTTTTTCTTGGTGCCGCGGTTAGTCTCATAATATTTTTTCGCGACGAGTATTTCCACTCGACGATCCCCTCTCGGCAGCGGGAGACGTTGGCCACACTCTTTGTTGCTCTCCTCTTCTCCCGCGAACTGGGAAAAATCGTGCCCGACAATGCGTCTCTCTCAATATTGGGGCATTATTGCCATTGCCTCACAATCAATAAGTGTGGCGCAGGGGAAGCAACAAAGCAAGCATACCATGCTGCAGAGGTCGCTGGAGGCAGGTACTTGGGCTCTGGAGACGAGAGATATGTTTGAGATTAAAACCTGTGAATCCTGCCAGGTAAGTCCTCTTTTATCGATGACCGAGACTGTCTTCTTACTCGTGGCAGAATCTCATCAGTGTCATCAAAGGGTTAGTTGAGGACAGCGACGAGCCTCTAGTCTCGATTGGAACAAAATTATGCTTGGCTAGCACTGTAAGTCTTCCCGCCTCTTGAACCATTTCATCTTATTAATTGCGCAACAGTCTTATGATGAAGAGTTTTGCGCCGGTACCGTTGAGCGCGAGGCCCCCGCGCTGGCTGAACTGGCGCGCAACGTAGAGCCCAACTCGACGGCCGCCATTCAGTTTTGCATTACATTTCTCGGTGTTTGCGACTATCCCGAGGTGAAGAAATGGGAGGTCCCGTTCCCATCGAAGCCCTTTTGCGATGCAAAGTCTCCCGCACCAAGTAACAAGAAGCCTCTCAAAGTCGTTCACTATAGTGATATTCACGTGGATCCGCTCTATGTCGCGGGCTCCAGCACCGAGTGCAAGAAGCCGATTTGCTGCCGGTAAGTGGTGTATTGAATGCTTTTTGACTTGTTCTGCCATCTCTTGTACTTCAGACTTTTGCTGACAATTAGTATACCAGACCGTTTGCCAAAAAGGATGAGCCAGGGAATGCAAAGTCTCCTGCTGGCCCGTACGGGGACCATAACTGCGGCGTGCCAGAATCGCTGGAATCAAGCATGTACAATGCAATCAAGAAGATGTTTCCTGATCAAATATTTACCATCTTCACCGGCGACATTGTTGATCACATGATTTCGAATACCAGCAAGCCTTATAATTTGAAAGAGAGTAAGTCGGCTACTGGAATATTGGAGGCCTTGATGGGCTGCCCACTAACACCACTTCTTTAGTCGACGACGCCTATAACAAGATGAATGACAGCTTCAAGCTCGTATACGGCACAATTGGAAACCACGAAGTGCATCCTGTCAACATTTTCGAACCAAAATCCATAGGAAACGCAACCCAGTGGGTGTATGATGCCATTGCAAAGAAATGGGCGTCGTGGATTGGAGACACTGCCGAGCAACAAGTCCTCGATATCGGCGCATACTCAACCAAGTACCCCAACGGCAACTTGCGCATCATTTCTCTAAACACCAACATGTACTACCGGTTCAACTTTGCCGTGTACCAGAAAGACATGCTTCAAGACCCCAACGGACAGCTGGCGTGGCTGGTCAAGGAGCTCGACAAGGCGGAAAAGAAGGGCGAAAACGTCTACATTATCGGCCACATGCCCATGGGCATGCCCGATGCCCTGACCGACCCGGCCAACTACTTTGACCAGATTGTCCGGCGGTACGCGACCACCATTCGCGGCCTGTTCTTTGGCCACACGCACATGGATCATTTCGAAGTCAGCTACTCGGACTACTCGAAGCGCGACGCATCGCACGCCACGGCCATGTCCTACATCTGCCCAGCACTCTTGCCCACGTCTGGCATGCCCGCTTTCCGCGTATACGACGTCGATCCCGACACATTTGCCATTCTCGATGCCGTCACCTACATTGCCGACATGACCGATCCCGAGTATCAAAAGTCCGGGCCGACGTGGAAGAAATACTACTCCGCCAAAGAGTCCTACGGCTCACTACTCTCTCCGCCCATTGCAGCAGCCGAGGCCGAGCTCACACCGGCTTTCTGGCACAATGTCACTTTAGCTTTTGAAAGCAACGCCACGCTGTTTGACGAATACGTGTCGCGCAAGAGCCGGGGGTGGATCAAAAAAAGTTGCCAGGGAGACTGCAAGGAGCAGGAAATCTGCCAGCTGCGTGCCGGTCGCAGCCAGAGCAACTGCCACAAGATCAAGCCCGGTGCGACCTTTGTCAAGAGGGACAATGGCCTGGAGCGACCGAAGCGTGCGCGCTGCGACAATTCAGTCATGCCCGATATGCTGCGCCTGCTCGCCTCCCGACAGGATCTGCTTGAGGATCTTCAGGCGAGGTTCATTGCGAGCGGTGCAAGAATCAAGCCTTGGAAGCAGGAAAGTCTCCCTATTCGCAACAGGGCATCAGTTTCGCCCAACTCAACAGACACTGGTGCGGAATGCGTGGAGCGCGGCTCGGCCACTTCGGGGAGTGCAAGCGGTACAGCGCCCTTGCTCACAGAAACCAACGCGCCAAAGTCATTGGCATTTACATTGCAGTGTCCATCCGCACTTTCCATCGTCTTTGTACTCGCTCTCACTCTAGTCCTCCACTGAGAGAGTAATACTCACAGGTCAAAGAGTTGACGGTCAAACTCAAACAGAAAGAGAAAGCTTATATAAGTAGATAGTATCAAATGTATTTATGAAATAATTACCAAAGCCGGAAAACCATATTTACAGAGACGGCGAATATAGCTGTGCACTTCCTGGAGCCGCCCACCTCTTGGAGTAGGTTTGATTAAAGCCCGAGTAGCGACCCAGGCTAGGAGGCAAATCGCCCACCGCGGTCCCCCAGTTACTCTCATTCTTCCCCAGCGTGAGAACGAGTTCCTTGCCCTCGGTAAAGAATGAGTGGTCAATCCAGTTCTTTGTGTAGGGCTTGCCGTTGAGCGTCGCGCTCTGAATATAAATATTCTTGTACGCGGCGTCAAAGTGGACGTTGCGAATCTTGGCCGTCTTGCCGGTGACGGGGTGCTTGACGGTCACGCTGGGGAAAAAGGGCGGCGTGATGAGGTAGACGTCTTGTCCCGGGTTGGGAAAGAGACCCATCATGCTGAAGGCGACAAAGGAGCCCATGGCGCCGCTGTCGTCGTTGCCGGGGAGGCCCGGAGGGGTCGGCTGGAAGAAGCGCGGAATGTAAAAGTGGCTGCGCTTGGCGGAGAGGGCCGGACGGCCGGCGTAGTGGTACTGGAAGACGGTGAGGAAGGCAGGCTCGTTTCCAATGTACGTGATTCCCTGGTCGTGCAGGTAGTCGAGTCGGCGACAAAAGGCATCGGGGCCACCATACATGGTGACGAGACGTGCTTGGTCGTGAGGCACAAAGCTACAACAGAGGTGGTTTAGCATTTGTCATTTCGGGACAGTACTTTTTGCGACTTACAATCCGTATTCCCAGATACTGCTCTCAAAGGTCTCGGGGCCGCTATTCTGGAGCGAGCACACACTCTTGCCATCCAAGTTGCTACACTTGAGCGGGTCCTGGTAGCCCCAGGTCTGATTCAGGTACTTTGGCTGGAAGAATCCCGTGAATCCAGTATCGGTCCCGTTGCCAAAGGAGGACTTTTGGTCGGCACGGTACAGATTCTCCCAGTTGCGGCTGGACGAAATGTACTTTTGCTGCTCATCCTTGTTGCCCCTGAGACCCGCCATCTGGGCAATGGCAAAGTCATTGTACGCATACTCGAGCGTGCGGCTGAGACTGCGCGTGAGCGTGCCGAAGCCCTTGTAGTCAAAGTCCTGCACGGGAATGTAGCCGAGCTCCTTCCACGAGTCGATTCCGCCGCGGCCGTGGCAGCACCAGTCAAACGGCTCGACCTCGGCATCCTTCTTGACAGCCTCGTAGCCCTTGTCCCAGTCGATGCCGTTGCTGATGCCCTTGAGGTACGCATCGGCCAGAACAATGTCGGCATTGGAGCCGCCCTGGGTGTATCCGCGACTCAGACTCATGCGACAGTCGGGCAGCCAACCGTCATTTTCATACGTGGAAATCAGGGAACGAATCATTTGTGACACGGCAGCAGGGTCGAGAATGGTGAGAAAGGGTAGCTGAGAGCGAAAAAGATCCCAGATGCAGTAAAACGAGTCAAAGTACGGCTCGCCGTCGTCCCACAATGGGTTCTCGCCAGTAAAGTTTTGGGGGTTGACCATGGTGCGGTAGATGCCAGAGTAAAAGTTCTTGACCAGAGACTCATCCACACCATTCGTCTCGACCTTGACGTTGATCATCTTGGCCTTCCATGCATCCCTTGCTTCTCGCGAATGCTTGTTAAAGTCAAAATTCGGAATCTCCTTTTCCGCATTCGAGCAAGCCTGCTCCTCGCTCATGAAACTGACACCCACGCGTGCATAGACGGGAATGTGGCTGTCGGCGAACCGCACAAAGGCACCGCCGGGCAGGGGGTAGCCGTTGATGGAGCGCGAGATCTCAAGGTCGTGCACGTCGGTGCTCGCGCGGCTGTCCACAAAGATGCCCGAGTCGGCAATCTTGGGACCCTTGAAGTCGGTGCAAAAGTAGGCCTTGTACATGCCCTGCGAAAAGCTCGAGACAAAGACGGCGTGGCCCTTGATGCGGCCCGTCTGGGGGTCCACGGAGACTGTGCCATTGTCCTGGCGCGAGTTGGACAAGTCTGTCAGATCCTGCAGAATAAGAGGCTTGTCGCCATCCTTGGCCCCGTTAAAGGTAAACTTGAACAGCGCGGCATGGTGGGTGGCTGTCATTTCCACCTTGGGCCCGCTGTCGAGCGTGATGCCAAAGTAGCCGGGCTTGGCGACCACGCTGTCGTTTTTAAACGTGCCATGCTGCGTGCGAGTCTTTTTGGGAAAATCGCACAAATTCACATCATTATTATTCCCGCAGGAGTTGTACGGGAACAGCGGAAAGTTGCCGAGCGAGGGCGAGCCTCCGGTGCCAGAGTCGTGCAGCACGCTGAAGCCGGTGACGGGCGAGCCGTCGAGGGTGAAGCCGCCCTGGTTGCTGCCGCTGTTGGTGTCGGCGACCGCCTTGGCCATGCCATAGGGCACAGTGGCGCCCGGAAAGACATTGCCACCGTTGCTGGAGCCAATCAGCTGGTCGACATAGTCAATAGGATCGTAGTGGACATCACGAGATGTCGCGGCCGCTCTCGCAACGACTGGTAGAGATAGGGCCAGAAACTTGAGTGCAGGCGCCATTGCTTACACGTAGAATTATAAAACTGCCTTTGCGGGACAAGGGATACACAAGTTCGATCCTGAAAATGGCACAGGCTCAAGACACGGGGAACGCGGTCGATTAATATGCGAAACAAAGGAGCCGGACATTGTGTCGCTGCCATGCTACCTCATACAATAGTGCAGCTAATGATAATTTCGAATGCCTCTACTAACACGGTCTCATCGCCGGCGGCAGATTCGCGTTGCTGCTAACGCGCATCTAGTAGGGTTGCACTAGCCCATGCATATATAATCGATCAGGATGCCGACCGAGCACGCGACGTGCGAATGCCACCTCGATGGTCAAGAATGTACCACTACTCTCTCACGTGGGAATTTCTATTCATGGTCACGATACCCAGTCTCCGTCTGACATGAACGGCAGGCGACCCAGCATATTTCCCCGTCTTCGGCCTGATTTGCTTGGCGTCAAATCGAATCGAAAAACTAGAGTAAGAAAGAGGGACAACTAGTTCTTCCAGGCAGATGCGCCAAATCCGGTCCTAATTAAACTTGAGCGCGTCGTGCATTTTGGGCGCGTCTTCATTTCCGAACGCCAGCCGTGGCACCTTGCTCCTTTGAGCGGAAAATTCCGTTGCTAATCAGGGGCAACATTCCAAAGACGGATATAATTAGAGCATAACTTTGATATAGTCAGATATGTAGACTGGTAGCGTTCAAAACCGACAGTTTGACAGCCTAGCGCAAGTCATGAGGACGTGCAAGTGTACTACCAAAGAACTCGTAGTATTGCCTCGGGGCGCTATAAATCTCCTTCCAAAAGGAGAAGGCGGTTTTGAGTGGCGTTGCGTCATTTGGACTAAAAGTAGGGATTCATTAGCTAGTTACTTACCAACAATAATAATTTCTACCTTGATTTGATTTGATTTGATTTGATTTGATTACACCGTGACGTCCACACTAAGTTGTAGCATGAGGTCGTTGGGCGGGTTCACAAAGGTCTGCGGCTAACAGTTGGCCGCTTATTTCACGGTAATCTTTTCATTTGCACCTACTTCTTTATTAGTGAAGTTGTTAACTTTGAAGCGAGATCGAATTTGCTACTTTTCTGAGTCTGATGATATTTGCGGAGGATGCATCACTGATGTGGGTTGTGAGTCTCTCAACATCATGGCACACTTAGTCATCTTGCCGACGCCGCCAACTTTGACCTGTTGCCGCAGGCATCATCACTAGGAACAATAGAGTTGTCAATACAAGCACACCATTCCCTTCAGTCGTCGCGACGCGTCCAATGTCACAAACGCTGTGCCATCATGTACAAGGCCGTCACAACCAATGATACATAATATAATACGGCTGCGGCGAGCACCCCCTCCCGCACATCTATACACACTTTCCAAGATGGCTCTCGTGACCAATCGGCCAGTCCTTCCCATCCCAGCCGCGGTCGCTACGATAGGTGATATTTCAGCCCGCCTCGACCCCGTCCTGTCCTCGCTCGCCGAGCACAGTCGCGCCGCCGTCGCCTGGGCCGGCGTTTTTGGCTCGTTTGCGCGAGGCAAGCAGACTGACGCGAGCGACGTTGACCTACTCGTTGGTCTTGTGCCCAATGTGACTGACGACGACGTCTACTAGGCGCGGGGTGACGTTCTTGCGCAGCTGGATGAGACAATGGGCCGCAAGGTCGACTGCTTCTTCTTGCGCCACGGGCAACCTCTACCCTTTGTGCTCTGTCGCGCACTGTTGCACGCCAGGACAGTTTATGGTAGCGAGGCGTGGCTCGCGGACAATGGCGCGCGCGCCAAGGTTCTATTTGCCGCCACGATACACAAAGTGCAGACGCTCCTCGGCATGATGGAGACGCTCCTTGCCATACTTGACCGCAAAGCCGATGAAATCAGCGCGACTGTGGTAAGTAATGATGGATCCCGTAAAAAAGATATGTGCGCGTGTGTATAATCTGACGTGCATAAAAGTGCCTGGAACCCGAGACGTTGCCGCCTCAACTTGCAGATGGCTTGCAAGAGCTCGTGTGCTACATGTACACGAGGAGCAATGACCAAGAAGCGATGGACGCCTACTTTTACGGCGTCTACGACCGACTCCTGCCGATCAAGAGAATTTGGGACAAGTACTCCTACCGCGTGCCACAGCAGATGAAGAGCGGAGAGGGCAGGACCGTACGTGCTTTTCTAGCAACGGTACTACCGGATTGCTATCGTGAGCTTCGGGGCATATATAAGCCGTTTCTAGACAACATTGCCAGAGATGAGCGTATGAATATATCAAGCCACTTAGATAGTGTATCAGAGGGCGCTTTAGGATCGAGTAGAAAGTCAGAGGAGAGATCTAACCATGTGTCAACCCTGACTCTATCCCTGTACGGCATTAGAACAACGGCTAGTCTAAATTCTTTTGATAGGCAAAAAATCCATATCTCCTGTACGGCGTCGGAATAGAGGGCAGTCTAGATTTTATCAGTAGGCGAAAAGGTCATCATAGAAAAATGCAAAGGGCTGTTGTAGCTTATCTGTGTTTTCCACGGAATGCCGCTAATCGTAAGCGCGGCAGAACCTGGACTCTGTTCCCACGATGAAAACGTTTCGTACGAGCTTGTCATGTGCCTTCGGGGCCATGTAAGACAAAGATAATTCCGCATGGACTCTGAAATACGACTACGAAGCCCGCGGCGGCTCGCTATTCGTCTGGTCATTTCAATTAGGTCCTCCTGACGGATACGTCGTACTGCGCGTGTACTACAGCGGGCTGCCGCTATCATTCTCGTTGTTAGGCAGAGGTAAATGCAACGACGGATGTTGGTACATATTTTTCTTATATATATGGATGATGTGTCTCAATATAACAATAGTCGATTCGTCTCAAATCAACTAGCCATGGTCGAGCGTGCTTACGTGCAAGCGTCTCTGCAGCTCTTGCAACTAGTCAATGCATGAACTGCTGCATAAAATATGCGAGTCATGCGACTTGAACTTAAGTCGCTGTCATTGTTCAAGTTACCACGATTGCGGTGCACAGTCACACTGTCCAGGTCATGTTGAGCAGTATTGGATACGAATTATTCTTGACTTGACAATGAACTATGCAGTCAGCACAAGAGTGAGCCCCTGTACTGGAATATTGACCCGGAGCCAAGAGGCTACATGCGTCCGTGAGAGGTAGTACCTAGTTGTTACTGCTATGCTCCATGTGCTTTGAAATGTCGCTGTCATCTTCCACGGTGGCTGATGCCCGACTGAGGTGGCGCATGAGCCCTTCGCTGCCTGATTCAAACTGGACATGCCCTTTTTGAATCCTCAGCAAGCTATCGCGCATCAAAAACTCATAATACCCAGTGGCACAAAGGGTGGCTGGGATGCTGACGAGAATGCTGATGGGCGAGTAAGTCATGTAAGTAAACGCCCCCTTCCCGAAGAAGATGGCAGCAACCATGCGCGTGCCCAAATCACGAGCCATGTTGGTGCTTATGGTAATGTCAGCAAAACCCCAAACCATGGTCGCATAGGCGGTGCCAATGACAAAGGGGGCGCTTGCGGGCGAGATGAATGGGTTGGTGGGATCAATGCAAGCCCAGATGACGAGGGCGAGGAAGGCGTCGACGAAAAACTCAATCATGAAGAGAAAGCCAAGGTTCGTCTGATTTGGATTAGGAAAAGAACACAGAATGCTAGCAGGAGCGCCATTCGCTACTAATGGCTTGCCTGCAGCGATTAGCTCTGCCTTCATCTCCTGAATCTGCGGCCAGTACATGCCCATGACGAGCAATCCTGCAATGAATGCGCCAAATATCTGGCTGATAATGTATTGCGGGACCTTTTTCAGCGGGAAACCCTGCCAGAACCATAGAGCAATTGTGATGCACGGGTTGAAGTGGCCACCAGATGTTGGCCCGCAGCAGATGATGGCAAAAGCAATGCCAAAGCCGAATGCCCAACCGATCTGAAAGAGGCTGCCAAACGCCGCCACGCCGACCGGACTGGCAAGGTTCAAGGTGAAGCTGGCCACGGCGGCGATGCCGGGGAAGACGTAAAAGAATACACCGGTGGCCTCGGCCATGCACTCGCGGACCCATCGTGGGCGAGCACGCTCGAAATCGAGTCGGCGCTGGGATACGGGCTTTGCAGGAACAACGTGGCGGGAGACGTGTCTTTGGATTGCATCAGTCACACCCAGTTCTACTACAAAGCACACAATGCATCAGTAAGGGTACCACCAAACCGGGGCGATCATGGTTACAGCACTTACAGTCGTGGGTGTGGAGACGAGTGAGATCTGGAGAAGACATGGATGGTTGCTGGCCACTACAAAGTTCAAGTAAGGACAAGGGCCGGTAGATGCGGCTGCCAAACAACCATAGTGATTAGGTTGATATCAAGGGGAGACGTTGCATATATACTGTCGCAACTCCAGCTATTCCAGTCCCCGGACCCCCATTCCCGGACCCATCCCCGGACTGTCGGCCTCGTCTTTTCCCGAGCGCAAAAGGTGTCTGCCAAACCCGTTGACAAGACGCAATGGGCGGCAAGTTTTTGCCGGTTCGAGGCCAGTTAGTTCTGTTTTGATGCGCGGTGCGGGGGGAGGCTAAGTCCACCCCGTCACAAAGAGCGAAGAGCGGTTGGAAAGAACGCTCCGTCAACTCGGGCGGTTCCCCAAGAGAAGCGACTGGCGTGGACCGCCCGCACTCGTAGCAAATTCGTTTCGACACTACTTCTACGGACAAAGGTAGTAGTAGCGGGCCTGCAAGGTGGAGGAGGTGAACGGAAAGGTCAAATCATGCTCGGAATGCAAGTCATTGGCGCGGGGCTGGGGGGGTGGGTGGAGGGAAGGGAGAGAGGACCGATGCTGTCTCTGGGGTAGAAAACTACAATCTCATTGGCATTTCCGTCTGGGCAGTTGGCTAGGACCGGGAGCGAGATGGACTCATCGTCAGACAAGAGCAGGGGTGCTGGCCAATGGCGATGCAACATCATTCGTTCTCGGCCGAGGCTCTTCCTTTGCTTTCTCTTTTTCCGGTCATCGGAGGTGGGTTAATCTCAAGTTTACCCCAGAGGTGGCTTGCGTACCAGCGCGAGGAGGCTGACAAGCCCACGCTTCATAATAGAGGGGAATGGTGGGGTATAGTTTTATTCTTTAGTCGGAATAGCAACCTCTTGCCGGCTAACAAGTTCGGGAATTGATATTTTGTATAGTTTGTGTGGCACTACAACAATGAATGACGAGCGAATGCGGGGGAACAAGGACGATTTCCCCGCACTAGGCGAAGTGGAGAGGCTTTATTTACACGTACATACTAGCTAGCAAGAATCAAGCTTCTACATCACCACCACCACCACCACCACCTTCTTAGGCGTAACATTGCTGTTGGTGACGAGGTCGCTACCGTTTTAAGAGCGCCATATAGGTAAAAAGAGTTCTTTCTCTGCCTTTTTCTAGTAACTAGTCCTCCTTAGAACTCTGGTGACTTGCTCTCTTAGGCTGCTAGCTGTACTGGCCACTGTACGGCTGCTGTACTGGGTGTACGGCTTCTTTAGGTATAGCCGTGTACAAGCTACGTACGGGCCACGTACGGGCCACGTACGGTACGTACACCTGCATGCCTTCATGCCTCCGTGCCTCTGTGCCGCTCTTTCTCTATACAGTCGTAGCCAAGCTTACCTCAAAAGGGTTCCTTGAACTTCTGCAGCTCCCAGTTGACATCCGCTAGAAACTCACGGTTGTTATACGGCGTAATGTAGCCGTCAAAGCCATCTTCGTCGTCCCTTCGCCTCCGCTTTCTGCTTCTGCCCCCCTCCAGCCAAAGCTCGCCGTCGTCACGAATCCTTCGCGAACTCTTCAACGGATCTCCCGTGGGGAGGGCACTCTGCGTCGGCGTATGCCTGGAGCTTGGTGTCATGGCCAAGTCTGTCTGCCTGCTAAACGGCGTGCCTGCGCCTGATGTAATCCCTAGATTAGCCCCCGGCGTGCTTATACTACTCGCGCCTGATGACGCCCTTTCCAGGTTTGGCTGCTTGGCCGCCATGCTTTCGATGCAGCACATCTCGTAGTGCTGGCGCAGGGCGTTGCGATCAACGTTGTCCGTGACCTGCGCTTTTCGGCCGTGGTATTCATTCACGCCATCAAATGGCACAAAGGCGCGGACGCGGAGAGTTTCTGGATGGATGGAGAAGAGACGCGCGTCGAAGTAGTCGTGGAGGTGCTTCATCAGCAGGATGCCATTGTCTGGACTCCACGTATGCTGCCATGCTTCGTACAGCCGTCGCGTGCTGTTTTCGACAGCAGTGCTGTCGGTAGGGTTGCCTCTTTCCACAGGATAGATGTGGTAGTGCTGCTGTGGGATAATGTGGCACGCTTGAACGCCGGGGCCGATACGCTGACCCGGGCACCACGGCTCGCCGCGGCCTGAGACGGCGCAGCAGGTCGCTCGGTCGATGCAGGCCGCCCGGAACTCATTTATCACCCTCTTCGCTTCATCCACGTCAAGGCTCATGCTAGCAGGGGCAAGCATGTCGGCATATTCGTCCGTGGCGGCGTCGGCCTCGTCAGGGGCCTTCCCGGGGGAGGTTGAGCCGGACGCGGTGCGTTTCGTAGGGGATTGGGAGCGAGAGGCTTTAAGCTTCCGTCGCAGAGGCATGATGCTGAGGCGCGAGTCGGAAGGGACCTTATTGTATGGGAGGTAGGCGGGGTGGCGGCGGCGTTTGGGCATAGGGAGGTGTCGAGCGCATCTTGCTGTTCAGTTATGTTAGCTGGCTACAGTTGCAGATGATTATGCGGAGGACGGGCGGCTGACCTCGAATGTGATCTTGTAGCGAGGAACCGGCAGGTAAGCGGCAAAGCCCATGACGAACAATGTGGTACGTGACAGTTTTCCGTAGCCTGGGCGAGACAGAAGGCAGAGCAGGTACAAGCCGGTCGAAGTTCTCCTGTAGTATCCAAGAAGGGCAATCTGTTTGGCCTGCCATGTCGGGAGTTTCCGTCAGGGCAAAAGCGATATTCTTCCAAGCAGTCTCAACAACAACATTGTCTTGGTTATTGCCGTTGTTTTCGTTGTCGTGGCCGTGGTCGTTGCTTCCAATAGGGACATCATTGCCATGAAGGTTCTCGCTGTCATGTTCGGCTGTTGGCATCTCGAAGCACAAGGCCAGCTCGGTGCACACATCAGCAAAAGTCACTGTCGGCGTGTGCGGATTCTGGTAGAGGCCGGCAAAGGTGCGAGGATACTGCTGCCCTCCGCCGATGGTTAAATTTACATTCCATCCGAGAGACCGCTGTGACGCTGTGACAGCGGCAGACATAATTGTCACCAAGTTCTCTGGTTAACTGATGACCTTGGCAGGAGGGCATTCAGCCAGCTTAACGGAGATGCTTGGTGACTAAGCTCGGAACCACACCTTCATTGATGTGAATTAGGACCTATAATCCATACTGAGTGAGTATGATGGGTAAGTCTTGTATGCCAGGCTGGTACCGACAAGGGGGGCGACGTAGATGTAAATATTCATCAGACAGGGTTTGATTTTTGCTGGGGAGAGAGTTCCCTGACAGGGATATAATTACAAACGCACTTCATGCTATTGTTACGCCACGTTGGCCTGGAAACACGACCGTGGTGGGGAGCAACTAAAGCCCCCCCCCACTTCGCCCCCAGTGAGAATCTTTATTCAAGTCGGGCATCGGCGACCGTTGATCTCGGACAGCCATGGCTGACCAATCAAATTCCGGAGTCCGAGGTCAGATCCACTGGCAGGCTGGCAGCAGACTAATATTTCCTTTCTTGGGCTAGCTCTATGTGGCTACTGCCTCAGGCACTGCAGCCTCTGATTGGTCAATCTGGCTCGATTTTTCCTCAAGCCCTTGATATGCCACGCAGCCAAGCAGCCTCTCTGCGTGGCCCATGACAATCAACAACACGAATCAAGACCAATAACCTCACGATAATTATCGTTTTTCAAATCAACACTCAATGATCTGCTAAGCCTATACAGGCTATGCGAGAGCAAGGTGGGTCAATCCGAGGCGTCTGTGGCCGACTTTAGTTACCAAGCCCAGCAAATGCTGCTAGAGACGTCTAGTGCGGGTAAATCGTCCCCCGCATTCGCTCGCATTGCCACACAAAGCTACTATACAAATATCAATTCCCGAACTTGTTAGCCGGAAAGAGGTTGCTATTACGACTAAAGAATAGAACTAGACCCCACCAGTCCCTCTATTGTGAAGCGTGGCTGATCTGACCAACGAATGCAGAGGCCGTCTTGTAGCCTCCTCGCGCTGGTTCGCAAGCCACCTTTGGGGTAGACCAAGCTGCCCACGCACGGGACGAGTAATAGTTGGGAGGTGTGGGTGTGCACGCAGTCGTCCATAAATGGCGAGTATAGCAATGATCGGCGTGATATTGCATGTTGAAGTTGGCTGCGCATTGTAGCAGGGTTTCATTGGACAGCAGAGGAGCTGAGCTGCACCTTGCTGCAGAGATCTCGGAATAAGCAGCCATCTTGTCAAAGGGTCGCCCAGTCCTTGTCTCCGTCGGTGAAAGCCCTCTCACCCATTCGTTGCCGAAGCGTCGTGGCGCACCAGCAGTTTCTTATCGTCCACAATTTTCGGCTGATATATCCTACCCGTTCCAGATCAGACGATGCTGCCCAAATCAGCCCAAGAGCCTCCCGATTTCTTGTGTATCCCGATTTCCTCCTCATCCGTGGGTTCTTTCCCCATCTGCATTTCTCAGAGTCTGGCACTCCAAGTCGTCTTGGCCACGTACCAGAGCTTGGACTTTCTGCGCTGTGATACGCCCGGGCGCCGAGGTTGAGGCTCCCCCGCAAGTCATGGCCGCCGATACGAGCCAACAAACGAACTCTGCGGGGCTTGTTCTCATGCACGACAGCACGAACGCAGACATCGACATCATTGCCATCCATGGCCTGGACACAAAGTCCCCGAACACGTGGACATGGAAAGACCCCAACGATGCCACTAAGCAAATCAACTGGCTCCAAAATGCAGAGATGCTCCCAAGCGTTGTGGGACGGGCTCGGATCTTTACATGCGACTGGCCGGCAGACATGTTTCAGAAGTCAATACCGAGCACGCTCGAGGAGTCTGCTCAGTTCTTGCTGCACAGCATCACACTGCGTTTAGAGCAAAATAGAAAGGCAGGAGAAGACCGGCCACTGTTTTTCATCGCATCGTGCCTCGGGGGTATCATCTTGATAAAAGCCCTCGAGATCGATCGCCATAATGGCGATGACATTGGTCTCTCCTCTCTCACAGCAGCGACGCGTGGTATTGTTTTCCTTGCGACACCGTTCCAGGGGACTGCTTTCAAAGACATGCCTGATCTCACTGTAAAGGTCTGGGCCGCGTTCAAAGACCAGACGGCGACTGCCCTGATTGAGTACACGAAGGAACCGACGCCCGAACTCGACGAACTCGTGAGGAGATTCATTCGTCTACAACAGGAAAAAGATTATCACGTGTTCGCCTTTTGGGAAGCTCACGAAACGAGCCTGCTGAGTAAAATTTACCTGGGTTGGCTGTTTTCAAAGCGGGCGTCTCAGGCCTGGTACGCAGTGTTCTGTCTATCCGTGGCACGGTTTTCGCCCTGGCTGCTGGTACTCTGTCTTCTTTGGCGATTGGCGTTCCCTTTGTACCAACCAAAGCAGGTAAGCACAGTCCCAGAATCGTTCTTTTGAGGGGACAAAGTTGCTAACCATTCGTTAGCTGGTCAATAAGAGCTCGGCAACGGCGAAAATCCTTGACGAGCAGCGGCTTGACCGATGTCACGTCCTGATGAACAAGTTTGGCGACCGTTGTAATGATTATCATCATGTCGCTAGGAAAGTTAAACAGATTGTTGAAAAGATTCGCAAGGGAACCCCACTCGAGCAAGCCGACAAGCTAATACGCGAGAAACACTACACGACGGACAGGCTCAAGATTGAACGGCTCTCGGGCCGCCCACTAGCGATGGACCAGTGCTACATTAACCTCGCCATCGTTGAGCAATCTGACCAAGATGCGGCTCGCTCTAAAAAGGGAAGGGAGACAGCGCCGTCCCCGTTTTCCATCCTCGATCGACAGAAGGTTGAGGCACCCGACAAGACTATGCAGGTAGAGTTATCGGCAATTTTCAACGAACGCAAGGGAAGCGACGACCGCCCGATGCACCCACGAAGAATCTTGATTAGAGGACGTGCGGGAGTTGGCAAGACTACCTTGTGTAAAAAGATTGTCTATGAATTTACTAAAGGCACATGGGGCAAATGGAACGAATTGTTCGACCGCGTGCTTTGGGTGCCTCTACGAAACCTGAAACATGAAGGAAGACGCAAGATGCCTGTATATGCCTTTGAAGATCTCCTGAGTCATGAGTTCTTGCCAACGAATAAACGGAGTCTTGCTGAGGCGTTGTCCCGCGTATTGGATGCCAAGAGCAGCAAGACTTTATTTCTCCTTGATGGCCTGGATGAAGTGTCCCAGGACCTGACTGGCGACACTGGTATGGCCCGCTTCCTCAGTAGGCTTTTAAGCCAGCCCAGCGTTATCATCACGGCGCGGCCGTCCGTCGCGCCTCCGGCTAACCTGGATCTCGAATTGGAAACGATTGGATTCGGCCCTGATCAGGTTAACGAGTATATCGAAAAATCCTTCACTAATCCAGACACTGGCGCAACTGATCAGACAAAGGTCGGCAAGGTCAAGTCGTTTCTTCAAGAGCGGTGGCTCATCCAGGGTCTTGTGCGCATCCCAATCCAATTGGGCGCCCTTTGTTATGTCTGGGATGACTTTGAACCGGATGTGATACCGAATACTATGACCGGGATATACAAAAAAATTGCGCTGAAGTTGTGGAAGAAGGATGTCGAACGATTGGCGAAGCGACATAACGGAGATCTGGTGACAGCTTCCCAGATTACAAGCTCGGACGCCGAGGACCTCGTCGCAGATGAGGTCTATTTCCTCGAGGGTCTTGCCTTCACTGGACTGCATAACGATGTGATAGACTTTAATGCAAAAGATCGCGATTTTGTGTCTACGGAGTTCAGGCGACAGGGAATGCTGCTCGAGAAAGTCCTTCCACACATTTCTTTTGTGCGAACATCTGACCCATCATCTGCAGCCAAGTATCGAAGCTATCACTTTATACACCTGACATTTCAGGAATACTTTGCGGCGCGGTATTTTGTGCGGCAGTGGAAGAACCAAGGACAACTGCAGTTTCTTACACTCGGTAGTAAGGGCACAGGGACAACAGCAAGTGCCCCTGCTGACTTTCTTCGAAAACACAAATACACAGCTCGTTATGACATCTTTTGGCGATTTGTGGCCGGCTTACTTGACGGGGTTGGCCAGGCACTAAATTTCATCAATACGGTGGAGGGGGAGCCTCTCGACCTGTTGGGCCCTACACATCAGCGACTAGTAATGCATTGCTTAAGCGAAATATCGAGCAGCTTGCCAATGCGGGAAATGCTCGAAAAAAGGCTAGCCCAGTGGTTGCTTCTTGAATCCACGTTCAATAAAACAGCACTGCTAGCAAGCGAAGTGGAGTTTCCCGAGTTAGCCCTGAAGACATCCTTACTTGAAGAGTCTACTGATGTCCAGATAAGAATACTGCGGTCGCTAGGTAATCGAGCCTCAATTCCACTAAGTATCATTGAACAGGTGGCGGCGCGGCTCGACCACGCCGACAAGAACATGCGGCGCGCCGCCGTCGAGGCCCTAGGCAGACGATCGGAGCTGCCAGAGGCGGTGCTCAAGGCGGTGGTGGCGTGGCTTAATGATGATGATAAGGACGTGCGGCGCGCCGCCGTCGAGGCCCTAGGCGGACGATCAGAGCTGCCAGAGGCAGTACTTATGGCGGTGGCGGCGCGGCTTGAAGATGACGACGGCAAGGAGAACGTGCGGCACGCCGCCGCCGAGGCCCTGGGCGGACGATCAGAGCTGCCGGAGGCGGTGCTTACGGCGGTGGCGGCGCGGCTCGACAACGACGACGACGACGTGCGGGGCGC